TTTATTTATTGTTATTATTAAACTAAAATCTCCAGCATGGGGAAGTGGGATGAGCTCGACTTTTCTCGACACAGTTAAACAGGCACAATGACATAAGGACAGCTTCTGAGCCCCAGCCCAGTGTTAGATCTCTGTATATTAGAGAAACATGTCATCAGTTGATGTGTTTTAAATGGTTTCAAAACCATTTAAAACACTCATATTAACTGTATATAAATCAGACCAATCCTGATTTCCTTGCCATAAACTTGCAGGCAGGAAGTTTAAGGCAAAGAAACATTAAGGATAAAAATATTCTTTTCAGGTATTTAACATCTCTAAGCGAAGCTGCAGCAGTTCAGCAACAAATGGAGCAGTGATATTGCCTGACTTGTTCTGACTCATTAAAATTAGTCCTAAGCAGAACAGGCACACAAATTAGAGACTAGACTCTACAATCCCTTCTCTCCATGCTCTTCTTCCAGTAAAGCTGATAAATAAAGGTAGGTGAATGCTAAATCAGAGAAACTAAAAGGTTATAAATGTGATTTTGACATTGAACTTGAAGTGGTGTAAAATGTGTAACTGTAACTAAAGGTCACTGATGATTTAGGTACTAGCAAAGATCCAGGCTATGTTTCCATGAAACATAGCCTGGTTTGAACCAATTGTTAGATTTCCTCAGATAAACAAATGTTTACTTTTATTTAAAGATCTTAACAAAATTAAGAAATTAAATATGTTTAATTTTGAATTAAACAAAAAGAAAATGACCTTTCCAGCTGTGTGCCAGGTAACATTTTAGAAAGGAAAAGACTGATTTGACCTGAATTGAAAACCACATCAAGTCAGGTCTATGATTCATAGTTGAATCATGAGAGAAAATTTGATACCTCCATAGAAGACAAGAGGGCATCTACCGCAGCTGGTGGACATGCTCCCAAAGCAGAAATAATCTGGAAATTAGAAAAAAACATCTGTTAGCAAGGGCAGAAATAGTCCACATGTTCACAAAGAAGACTGTCACTTTGACGAGAAGCTGCTAAAGTTTCTCATCAAAGCCTGTAGGCAAAAACATGATTTTGAGGTTAAATTACCAGAGTGAACAAAATAAATATATGATATACACACGGCCGTGCACTGCAACTCTGCCTGAAAGCATTTGTTATGGCGCAGTCATGTCAAATGCATATGACACCATGTGCATCAGCACAGCGATGCCATGCATCAGCATGGTGTTGTTGCTGATGCGCTTATAAAATAAAATAAGAAAAAATAATAAACCCAGCATGCTGCGCGACTAACATATGTGTCTACATACACACAGCTCTGGAAAAGAAATTAGAGACCACTGCACTGAACTCCATTGAAAACCTTGTAGTTATCCCACCAAATAGAGTTTCTGAACTCCTCCTGAGTTAAAACATTAGTGTTATTGTTTCTAAATGAACATAAACTTGTTTTCTTTGCATTATTTCAGATCTGAAAGCACTGCATCTTTTTTGTTGTTTTGACCATTTATAATTTTTCTGCAAATAAATACTAAATACTACAATAAATTCTTACTTAGAAATTTCTGTCAGTAGTTCATGAAACTACTGACAGAACAATGATCATTTCATTCAGACATATACCTATAAAAAGTAAAATCAGAGAAACTGATCATTTAAAGTGGTCTCTTATTTTTTTCCACAGTTGTACGTACACGTAAGTATGAATAGATGTGGAGACATGTCTCCATACTTGCTTTACAGATTTATTCTTGTGTGCATTCCATTCAAATAGATGTATTGATATAAACGCATTTTATAAGGTTTTTGTTTCAATTGTGTGTGTGCGTGTGTGTGTGTATGCATAGATGCACAGATTCATTCTAGAGTTACTGTGGATATGTTCCACACTGTGGTTGTGACATGTCTGGAATAAATCAGTCAAATCAAATCAAATCAAATCAGGCAGCAAGCTTATTGAGTGTTTATAATATTTTGTATTGGACTAATCCAATACAAAATATTCCACCAATATTCCAAATATTCCATCAATATTCTGATTCAACACCTGAGTGTTGAATCGGGAGCCAGTGGAGATTTTTAAGAACTGGGGTGATGAATGAGTTTTGGATATACTGCAGTTTTTGTAGATGTGTTGCAGGAAGTCACTGAAAGATGCAGGTAATGGTATTGATGTGAGATTAGGAAAAAGTCACATATCCAAAAAACTGCATAAAAAACGCTATGTTTCTGCCAGAAAGGCAGAAATGAAAGTTTGAAAAAAGAAAAAGAAAACAAAAAAAATCTCTATGAAAGTGCAGAGCAACTGCAAGGAAATTGCAAAAAGTAAAAGTTTGAACTAGACATTACAATTGATGGTAGAGATGGTTTGAACTTCTTCCTTGTCTCTGCCCTTATTGCTCCTACTTTGCATCCATGACGCCTCTGGGATTTCTGGCTTCAGTTGTGGTATTATTTCAGCTTTTGCAATATTAATCAGCTGCTCCCTGTTGTAACCACCCTGTTGCTATGGTTACGCATCAAAAGGGCAAAATACTGTCCTTCTGCACAGCATCCAAAAACAAGAAGAACTGCTTGTCCAAAAAAACAGAAAAAAATTCCCCAAGAGGCAGAAATGAAAGTTTGATTAAAGAAAAAAATCTCAATGAAAGTAACAGAGCTAACGTGATGCATTAGCATAATTCTAGAAATAGAATTATGTTTTTATGCAGCCTTGTCCAAGATTTCAGCATTCATTTTCACCAACCTTACAGGCATCTCCAACACTACAGCAAAAGTAGCTTACAGATGTTGTACGCCACATCAACTGAAACAGCATGTCAGAACTACCACACTACAAACACAAACAGTTGGTATAATTCAGTAAGTTAATTGAAAATTCTCCTCTGTTACCTTAGCAACAGCCTGTTGTAGGCGGTACAGAGTGTTGACCACAGTAACATTCCTTCTTTGCCCCTCTGTCAATGGTCCAATCACCTGACTGGCATCTCCTTGAGTACAGAGCTGTGGACAGGAAGGACACAAAGGGTTCAATAAGTGACAGAGTGTAAAGTTAAATTTAACAGACAGAAGACATAATCAGCAATGTTAGAAATAATTCCCCAAATGTCTCCCTCTGCTCTAGCAATTGGACAAGTCCAACCTGTACCATTGCAGAAATAAAATATCCCAAAAGAACCATTTTTTTAGTTGTCAGAAACTAAAAAAAGATAGAGTGAAAACCTACTACAGGTAATTTGGTTGTAGTAATCATTAGGTTACTACCAAAAAAAGACCATGCTAAGAGTCTCGCTGTTGTGAAGGGATTCTTTACTCATTTCAGTTCACCAGTGTTTCCAGACCTTCATTTCCACAAGGATATTTTCAGGTCTAGTCTGAAATATTATGACGAATGACGTTTTCCTAATCTGCTGTATTTTGAGTTATGGTAGTAACCTAAATGTTCACAGAGAGACAGTCTTATTTTGACTTTACAGTCTTTCAGTATGCAGAGAATTTCATGGTGAACTTAAGGACTAGAGGATGCCCAGGTCCTGAGGTTGCAAAACAAGCCCACATTACTACCCCTCTGCTACCGTGCTTAACATGAGGTATGAGGTTTGTGATAGAAATTTAGCATATAATCCATTCATTATCTCACTGTGATAATAACTTGGATTGATCTTGTCAAAGAGCAGAATTTGTGTTGGTGGGGTTCGTACCTGCAGTAACCAAAGAAAACTAAACTGCAAATACATTCTAAAAACTTTTTCTACTGTCACCTTTATTGTTGTCACACTAAAGACCACAAAGTATCATGATATAACTTTAATTTCAGTAGGTGGTGTTGGTACTGATATATTCAGACATTCTGCAATATAATATGGCAAAACATTTCTCTTTTTTCTACAGTTTCCTTCTGTGGGAACTGCATGAATGTTTTGGGTTTGTAACCTTAGAAGTGTCAGTTTTTTTGCCATGTTTATATTCTTTGTCAAGAGAGGCTATTGGTGAAAATGAAAGACGTGACAAAGTGCTCACATTTTTCAATAGCCAGCTCATCAAGATTATTTTATTAGCATTAAGCAGTAGACATTATGTAATGATTAAGTTTCATAATTTTGTTTCCCAGACTCAATGCCTCTGCACTTTGGCCTAATTTTTGTTGGCTCACAGCAAATGTCACCTTATCAGAAGCTGCAATAAGCTTGAAAAACTGGTGTTTATTTCTGACATGCTAAGATATAAAAGCTTAGAGCTAACAATTTCTCACATGCATGAGTGGACATAAGGTATAAGACACTGGACTGTGTTGGAGGTACAACAGACTGCTGTACATACCAGTTGCTCAGACTTTACACAGAAGAGTTGGATGGTTTTTGCAGCATTCTTGGCCACAGCAAGAGAGAGGTTTGGATCCACTGATGCCACATTCAGCTCACTGGAAATAAAACAGTCTCAGTCAAATGCAGCTTAGTAATGCAGAAATATAGAAGCTTTTAATAAATGACTCATATGTATAACTTTTCTGAAAACATATTTTCTATGGAAAGAGCCCAACATTTCGTATGAACTCATAGTATTGATCTCTGGCACCAATATTATCCTTGACATTTACATTCAAGAGATGGAAGTGCTGCTATTTTACCCACAAACAAAATAAGTGACACAAATACACTCCTGATCAAAATCTTAAGATCAGTCAAAAATTGCAAGAATTTGCATTTTGCACTATTGGATCTTAAGAAGGTTCTAAG